TGGAGAGGTCCCAGAAACCGAGTTCAGCCATGAGGCCACAATTATGACCGGGCTATATTGCGGCCCCTGGCAAGAGCCAGAGTAGGGCTTCAAATAACGAAACATTTCGCCCTAAAATGGACTGCAAGTATCTTGACTTTTAACATATTTATTCAAAACATTGTTTTCCCGTAGTGAATTTAAATAGCGCGAACACAAACAATACATTGCACAATTTATTGCCAGGCATATTTCGCTGTATTTCGTCATGTCCACATTGTTTAAATATATTCAATGTTCATGAAATGTTACCAGCATATTATAGGAATGTTCTAAATAATTATGTAAGAACAGATACAATTTTAAACAGTATTCAACGAAATTGCGCAATATGACGGACACCAACATACTTGCACTTGTTACGTAAACTTGCAAACGTTAAGATTTCCTGGAACAATGAAGTCTGCGCATGACAAAAGCGCCTACAAAACCTAAAAACTATTAGGCAAATATCACGCGAAAAAAAAAATGATGACAAAACTCGTAAAAATCCATCGTATTTTCATAATAAAAGAATGACAAAATGCAATCATTGTTTTAAAACTACCGCAAATAATACTATTTTTCGCGAAAACATGGAGGTTGTAGATAAAAGAGGGGGGAAATAATAGAAGCATGTAATTATTTTCCTTGTCGTGACAAAACCTCCAATCCAGAGCTTAGGTTCTTCATGACAGGGCCAACCGGCAAAAAGGCGAGGCCATCATTAAGTTCAGATAGAGCTTGAGAGAAAATCAGATATCGATAAACTGTCTGCATCGGCAAACACGGCTCGGCTTTTATGTTGTAAGCACACCAGGCCGTACTAACATGTTGTATGATGCATCTTTGTGTGAAGTTGCTGTTCTGTCAATCAATTAAAGAGTGTTTGCAGCATAACTACTAACCGCACTGAAGTTCCAACACGTCCCATTTGTTGTATACTCTATTATTCGTTGACATTTAATGTTATAATCCTATTATTTGTATGTTCTCAACTTTGCACCCCCCCCCCCCCAATTTTTTTTTGTTTTTTGTTTTTTGGTTGATATTGAAACATGACCAAGATAATTACTGTTATAAATGTTTTCTATCATTTTACTTTTCATTTCAATATATGCTTGCATCTCTACGTTTGATTGTTGAAACCATGCGTTATAAGTTCACATATAACTATCATCCTGGTATATATACCAGGAACCTGACCTCATCTAACCACGAGATTTCCTGGCGGCTCCAATTCATGCCGTGGCCGTTCCCACGGGCTGTTCTATATTCTAGGGGTGTTAGCAGATGCCTGCCTATCTCTGTTTCGCCGTCTATACACACCGTGGGGAAAATCGTGCGCGGGCGAGTCGAGTGTTCAACTAAGTTTTTGTTTCCCTGTGAACTACATCTTTTGTGCTACCGTTATTGGTTTGAAAAGTGGTTGTCATGCTTAAAAATTAGAGAACTAACACTTCCATGTCTGATGCCATCCAGTACAGGCGCCAGCAAATCAAATACTCAATATAAAGGTGTTTTAAACAAAATTATTATTATGTTTACCGTTTTGTTCTTTTGATTAGTAATAGAAATATGTTGATATTCGTCGGACGCACATTTAACAAACAGTCTCTGAATGGACATGTTTACTGAACCTCACTACAGATTTGAGGATTAGGTGTCGGAATCCGTGTCAACAACAGGCCTTGGGGGTGGGGTGTGTGGGGGTGGGGGAATACAACCGGTACATTGTTCCAGGGCCCATCGAGCTCAGAGGGGGGTCGACCTATGAAGGGGTAAGCTTCTACAAAATCACATTTAAGAATTCAAAAAAAAAAAAGGAAGGAATGAAAGAAAAATAGTATTAGGATAATACTCTCTACTGTATTGTTTGTTTGTTGTTTGTTTTAGTATCCAGAAGCTATGAGTTCTTAACCCTTAGGCTCGGTATTATGGATATCGCAACCTTTCGGCCTTGATTCCATTGTAAATACCGTAAATCTGGGAGAAATGTGGCTTTTCTGCCTACCCCCGGGAGTGAACCCGGACCACAAGGAGTTCGTCACCAAGTTACCGCGCAATCCGGTTTAGCCAACTACGCCAGAGAGCCGGGTCTCTCTACTGTATACTTTGTATATAGCAAAACCGTCGTGCAGCTTTGTTTGCTATTACCTCTGTTAAGTGATAAGCAGGCCATATATTAGTCTCGTTCCAGCACTTAATAAACCTTTCGGAGGTCCTAATCAACAGTCAGACGACAGCGTTCTGTGTCTGTGTTTGTTTGTTTCTGCGGTACATATCACGGACATGGCCACTGACAACAACACGGAAAATATAACCTGACGCTGGCGGATCCCAACACACACACACACACACACACACATATATATATATATCCGGCTCTCTAGCGTAGCTGGCTAAACCGGATTGCGCGGTGACCGGTTAACGAACTCCTTGTGGTCTGGGTTCACTCCCGGGGGTAGGCAGAAAAGCCACATTTCTTCAAGATATACGGTATTTACAATGGAATCAAGGCCGAAGGGTTGCGATGTCCATAATACCGAGTCAAAGGGTTAATAACTCATGGCTTCTGGATACTAAAAAAAACAAACATATATATATATATATATTTCGGCGATATTAAAAGACATAACATTCCTATGAAAGCCACTCTGGAGGAAAAAGTCAATGGCAAACAAAAAAAGGAGTTTTACAAATGGGAGAGCAGTATCAACAGAAAGACAAACAGCAATCTTGGAAAGCGTACAATCATGAAGAGAGACATAGAGTGTTGGAGACAGCATCTGATTGAGAGAATGATTTTTGGGTTCTTTTTCGAGGGAACCTACTATATTTATTACAAATGTCAAGAAAACTGCGTACACACTACGCCAATATTGCGCCACTCTACTCGACCTTTGACTTTTACTTTCGATGTCATTTGACATTTATTTCTAGGTGTCATTTTACAAAAATAACGAAATAAATGAAAGCTTCGGAATATTTTGATCGGTTTGTGAGTTCAATTTCGTCATAATTCTACATTCTCCATGGGAGTGCACCCCTAGGGTTGGCTCAAACCCTGGTGATATTGCGTGCATCCAAGTGCCTGCACGGGCGATAATTCGATGCTATCTCATCGCTAAACTGTACGCACGGCCATCATGACAATTTATGTCTTTCTGCAACAATCGTTAAAGCTGTATTTTTCCCCTTCTTCTTCTTCTATCAGCACACATATTTATATCTTTAAAATTATATGTCTTTTATCTGGGTCTGGTTAACCACTGAGGGCACTAAGCACGTGCTTAGAGCATTACAAAGGAAGGGGCACCATACAAATTTTCACTAGGTTCAAGCTGAAAGTTTTTTTTTTAGAAGTATATATAAAAATCCAGTCACAATAATGCAACAAGGCATGCTGGTTGCCTATTCGTCCCAGGATATGCAGGCGTTATTGGTAATGAGAGAGCTGATAAACTGGCAGGTACTGCATTTATTGAAGATAGCCGGCCCATGGATCACGCAGACATTGTCATTGCCCTTAGAGAGATAGGACGTTCGAAGGATTTTGGAAGCAACGTGTCCACATCACTTCTAAGAATACGCGAATTGGGAGTAAAGATCGGCACAACCAAGCATGAGAAGCACACTGGACGCATACGAAGTCTTGATAACCAACATAGGACTGGTACTATTAACCGCACGACGCTGATGAATATGTTGAGAGGGGAATCTGAGCGCCTATGA